TTTCGGGACAGATAACGGGGTGGATTAGTATAGAACCATAACCGCACCATTAACCATTTAAAAAATCGGGTATTCTCCGCCCCGTACCCGTTCCCCAATCAAACCGATTTTCCCCAGTTTGACCAAATTGGTTCGGTGCGGGTATCCAATGGGTCGGTCGAAATTGTCGTCTCTAACCCCAACTAGGTATCATCTCCCCAACCAAACCCACTCCCAACATCTCTAGCAAACCCTCTCTATGCTCGATCAATACATTAGAGTTGGAAAAAACATTAGATTTATTAAAATTAATTACCTGTCCCGATGCTCCTTCATAATTAGTCAGCGCCTCTTTGACCAAAGTTGCTTCAGTATGAGTGGCCCTGAAAAACAGCAGACAATCATCTGCAAAAAATAAATGAGAAATCATCAGAGTACCCTGAGTTACAGAAACACCATGCAAACGGCCCATAGACTCATATATATGAAACAATGTGTTGAGCCCTTCTGCTACTAATAATTAAAAATAAATACGGTGAAAGGTCACCCTATCTCAATCCCCTCCCAGGCATTGGTAGATCAATATCTGAATCATCAAATGGAATGGAGTAGGAAACCGAAGAAACACGCATCATAATCAACCGGATCCACATATCATCGAAACCCATATTCTTCACCACCCCCTCCAAAAAAGACCATTCTACTCTATCATAGGCCTTGCTCGGGTCCAATTTCAGAGCTACGAACCATGTATTTCCATACCTCTTACGCTTCAGAAAATGTTGGGATTCAAATGCCAGCATAATATTATCAATAATATGTCTACCCGAGATAAAAACGCTTTGCTGCTCAGGGATACAAATTTGCAACAACTTTTTCATTCTATTAGCAAGAAGTTTGGGGGGGAAATTATATATCACATTAGACAACTCTATGGGTCTCCAATCCCCAAGGGATTCAGGTTTATCTTTTTTAGGGATCAACACAATATGTGTATAATTAATTTTGTCCAGCAACTTACCTGATTCTAAAATCCCTTACAAAAATTAATAACATCCAATCCCACTATATCCTTTACTGATAAAAGCCCGGACTCAAACCATCCAATCCAGGAGACTTATTTGGATGCATAGAAAATAAAGCTTCTTTTACCTCATCCCCTGAATCGGTTGAAGTAGGTCAATATTATGTGAATTCTCCAATTTGCGTCGGACACTCCCAAAAATAAATTCCCCATTATCTGCCCCTGCTGTGAAGAGTTGAGAAAAATAATCTCCGATCATCCTTCCAATCTTTGACCGGTCTTGCTCCCACCGCACATCCTCAAACCGAAAGCCTTCAATTTTATTTTTCCTCCTATTCTTGACAGAGTTGTGAAAGTAACGGGTATTAAGGTCATCTCCTGTCAACCAAAATTATTTAGCCTGTTGTCTCCAATAAAGTTTTCTTGCTCTAGAAGCCCAAAGTCTTCTTCTTTGACCCTCTGAAATCCCCCCGGGCTCCAAGCATCTTGGCGTCGGCGCAAATACTAGAGCCTCTTTTTGTAGAATCTGATTCTCTTCCCATAGGAACCAACTTTACTATAAACCCAAGCTCCAACAGCTTTATTACAAGCCTCAATTTGACCCACAACACCCAGCGTTCGTCCGATACCCCAACTTCTAGCAACAATTTTCCGACAATCCAATTCGCATAACCAAACATTCTCAAACTTAAACTTATGTCGCCGACAAAATATTTGAGAAGGAATAAGCTTTATAAAAAAGGTCATATGATCACTTGGAGAACCTTCCAAGGATTCAGCCATAGCCTCACAAAAAATGACTAGTCACTTTTCCGAGACTAAGATTCTATCCAGATTCTCCTCCATTTCGACTACTATGGAGGAGAACTAAATGGTTTGATTGAGCCATTTTGACTAAATTTCTCTAACCAAATGGGATGTAACTTATATTTCATGAAATGAAATCAAAGGAAATTGTGAGAAGTAAAAACGTTTGTGAAAATGGCTTCACAATCGTATTTTAATTATAAGACTTCAAATATGTTAGTATTTTTCAAGTTTTGGAGTAATTACTACTATGTTGAGATTAAGTTTCGGAAAAACCTCATAAAAATATAACTCCTATTGCAAATTTGCAATTCTAAACGTTTTTATTTTCATTTAGAAAATTTCCTTGGAATCAATATAGTGAAAAAATGTGAAGTGATGTGTTTACTGCGTAGTACGTACTACAAAAGTTTTGTTGGTATTAATGAAAAGGTTGAATTGATTGTATCTCCTATATACGAATTATGAAGTATATTAAAAATTGATACGAAGTATGAAAACAAAAATATTCATATCCAACCGATTATTTTTTACTCTTTAAGCAGATAAGTAGCTAGACTGGTAGAGTGTTATGTGTTTATATCATTATACAACCTATCATGCAAAATTGAAATTTACTACTTTATTTAATAAAAACAATTAATTAGCTGATAAAGCTAGGGGGGTGGATTAACTAACGAGCCATCTGGCTCTAAATATATCTATGTAACACATAAATGCCAATCGATGAAAAAGATGAACATTACATTTTCATTTTGGATAAAAAATAGTCTTCAATTCTTCAAAATAGATGTCAAAAATAAAAAATGTAGCAGATTCATCTAATGCAACAACTCAACCATTTTATATCTTGCAAAGGAGATTTCTACCGTACGTAAAAAGGAAGGACTCAACACATTTCTTTGCAGAAAAACTATACGGTTTTTATTGGAGTAACAAGGCCAATAACTACAGCTTGCCAACTATTGGTATTATAAAATGAAATATTTTATTTGTAGTGTACTCACCTCACCCCCTTATACCCACTCCAGGTGAGAAGCTATTCTTTTGTATGTGAATCTCACCCGCAAACATAAACATGCATGTTTTGTATGTGAAAGGGATTCACACACAAAAAATAACCAATCACAGTGGCAAGTATAAGGGTGAGTATACCATGGGTACAAGTAGCTAAACTGTTACAAATTTTCCGAATATGACTAATGAGTTAGAATTATAGTGACAAATAACAGGGGGGCCAACTTGTAGTCTTGTTAAGCTGTGAAGTACATGTGGTTAACCAAAGCCTCATGCTAAAACTAATGCTAGTACAGGTTGTACATGTTCCCACATTGGCACATTTCACATTATAGAATGCTGATTAATGATGATGAAAACATAGAAGGGTCCATTTGCCACCTAAAAAACTAGCTTTAGGAATATTCATGCCTCTACAAGTTCATTTTGGGATTTGTTCAAACTTATTTTATTTATATATTTCTATTACATAGAAACTACATAGTATAAAAAGAACCATGATATATATTAGAACCCTTGATCGGATTTTTTTCCTTTGAAAATAACATGCAAAAGTCAGACAAATGAGATGGCAGCTTAATCATTTTAAAAAAAGGGTCAACTAAGGCCTTCTACTATTATGAAATAGTCACATAAGGTCATATACTCAATAAAGTGTCATATAAGTACATCTACTTGTAAAAAGCAATCAAATGAGTCCTAATGACCTATTTAACACCTCTTAATCCCGATTTCAACGTACTTCTGACCATCTTTTTAGAATACATTATACAGCATATGTCAAATATTTAACCAAGATTGGTTGAAATACACTTCAAAAAAATCGACATGTAAGCTAAAATTAGGATTAGGAGGTGTTAAATAAGCCGTTATGACTCATTTGATTACTTTATACACTTTATTGAGTACATGGCCTTATGTGATTATTTCATAATAGTAGAAGGCCTTATTTGACTCTTTTCTCATCATTTTACAATGTTTACTTAATGAATCAAATTATTAGTTTTGCGAAATATAGAGTGAACAAAGAGTCTTTGTAAGAACGAGTTTTCAATAGGGGCATAGTGGATAGTCCCCAAATCAATTCGTAATAATTCTGATGATGTTATAATATATGTTACGTGATACTCGACTACTCATATTTATTATATGTACCAGGTTGGGGTTATCAGGCCAAACAAGCAAGTACCCTATCCCAAGCCCACCAATATATTGTTAGGGGCCCAGCGCAGTATATAAATATGTATATCCAGACCCCTATGAGGGTGGGTTGTGCACTTGTGCAAGCCAATGTACCAACCTTTTTGGTACAGGTCTAACGTGATCCATTAGGACATCTTTGATGTAGAGGTGGATTGTCAAAAAATGCTATCCACATCAACTAATGGCCCTTAATGAGAACAAGTACACTCCGATGCGAAAAACGAAATGAACAAGATCCATCTAGGGATGGACTCGGGCCGGGTCAACCGGGCCGTAACCGGCCCGGCCCGGCACTGTTTTGAACTGGCCCAACCCAAGGCCTAGTTCCGGGCCGGGTGTATACCTGAACCGCAAATATTCAGGACGGGTTCCGGGACCCCAAATAATGAACCGGCCCGGTCCAGGCCATTTTTTTCACAATATTTGGGAGGTAAATGGGTTGGGCTGGGTGTTTTGGAGGGGGTTGGGTGTGGGGGTGGGGGTAGGAAATAATTAGAAAAAAAAAAGGTAGCCGACCCGGCCCGGCCCAAACTGGACCCGGTAGCTACCCGGGCCGGTTCCGAGCCTCAAGATTCCAAAAAAAAGCCCGGTCAGGTCCAGCCTGAGGTCTGGCCCGGACCGGCCTGAGTCCATGCCTAGGCCCATCCTTATTGGCAATGCACATGGTTCAACATGAGGTCTACTTTGAGACCTTGCATAGCCTGTTGTCTGTTGATATTGTCAATGATTGATTTTACATTGCATAGCTCTCCTCCCTTCCGCATTGGAGTAGGATGTTAGTAGACCCTCTCCATTTGATAACTTTTAGCTCACAAATTCAATACACCCTTTCCATTTATTTGATACTTCAACCATGAGCATTGGAGATGCGCTTATAAAGAAACCAGGTGGACCTTGATGCTTTTGGACTTCATGGATTTTTCAGTGTGCAAAAATAACCTCAACAGACTAATTGCTATTCGCAAAACTGCTCTGGACCATAAGAAAACACACTATAACAGTCTTTAGAGAACTCATACAAAGTTATATGAATTATACTCTGGAGACTTTCTTTTAATATAGTTTCTGCAACCTGTAATGTAATTAATGGCTCTACCTAATAGGTTTGTTCAGTTAGAGGGTAGGGAACGGAAACATCAGCCTCCCCCTTTTGGGTTTAAACTTCGGTAAGTACAGTGGAGTAGGGGACATGAATTTATTCCTTCCTCCTCTCCCTCCCTTCGAACCAAACACACCCTAATCTTCATGACAATCAATGCACCATATTTTCAAAAGTTGTGAGCACCCCATAATCAACCCAAGTTGGTATTACCAAGTGCATTATGCATTCATTCATTTCAAAAAACATGTAACAGGATGATGAGTGAAACCCAAACTAAATGCAAGGCAATGCATGCTCGTCCACCTCTTCAGCCTTCACCACACTGCAAATCATGCAATATTTAATATCAAGGAATATCACAACCTTAATATCCCTCTTACACTGATCAAGTCAAGCTATTCTCTCAATCTGTGTTAGCATTGATCCTTTCAATATGATTTCTTAAAACGCATTTCAGATAGTTAAATGCACTTCTAAGACAAGTAGCTACCAAAGTTAGCTGCCAATTATATACTCTAGATCACTAGGAACGTGAGTTAACTGTCTACAGATAACCTCAAAGCAGTATAAGCCTGACCCAAATCACTCTCTCCAAAGTCCAAACAAATCACCTTGATCGTATCTGTGTGGCTGAACATTCTTAGTAAATTGAAGAATATATCAATCTGAATATGACATGATAAAGTAAAATAGTATGGATGCAATAGTTCTTGATGTTTTAAACAATGTTTCAGAAAGATCTCCTCAGCATGTGAAAGTCCTTATAGAGAAAACAAATATCATATACAAACACAGTCCAGCTACCAGAATACTGACCATAACAATTTATGAAATGATAACTTTATATTAAGCCAAGACGAAGCCAATTAGAAAGACAGCGAATAGAGAGAGAGAGAGAAATCAGCCATGGAACTCTCAAAATAGACAATTGACCTTATGAATAAGGCGATAATGACAGTAAAAAGGCAATCCTTGCAAAGATAGTTAAAGGAAATCTCAAGAAAATATATGTATCGCTACAGGAGGGAAACCTGGCCGATTGCAGTCAAGCTTTTAGGACTCCTGCTCAATCCGTTGGATTATGAGACTTACTGCTGCATTTGCTGATGAGAATGCTCCATGAAAGCTCTCCTGATATGATATAGATTCCAAATCTTTAGCCATCTTTAACAATATCTCACCTATATCAATCTCTTTCTCCATTAATGATTTGTAGAACGAACTTGAAGCAACCTTGCTAATTTCCATATTGGTGTCTTCAGGACAGTATTCATCATCCAACCACTTGTTGAGAGTAACTCTCAACCATTCTGACGCCTACATAATTTTAATGCTTTTCCCACTCAATTGATTCATATTGGAGAAGCAACTTAAATTTTCTACTAGTTTCGACTAGGCCTAGGACTTAGAACCATCAAACCGGGAAAACCAATCCCAACCGGGAAACCGGGAAACCCAATCCGAACCAATATCACTGGTTTGGTTCTTGAAATTTCAGTCATATATCTTTTTCGGTTCCTAAAAAATATTTTTAGGGTTCGGTTCCGGTTCCCAAAAGAAATTAACTTATAGGAACCGAAGTTCCTATATATTCATACAATAATACACACACACACTACGTATATACTTCTATCTATTCATACAGTATTAGGAGGACCAGCCCACATTTACAGGTTCTGAACTTGCACCTTAGATTTTGACCCCCTTACGGAAACCGGGCGGTCGCTTCTCAAATAGTCGAAGGAACTGCCGCTACTGCTACTCTGAGTAATCGATTCTTCATCTAATCTTTTATACTTGAGCATATGTAGTCTTCAAAGCTTCGAAACTCCTATTACAGTTTGTTATTGTAATGTATCTCTATGGTAATTTCATTTAATTTGTGTGTTTGATAATCTTAGTAACTAATTGAAGTTGTTTTTTCATTTTAAACTTTATCTAGGGTTTAATTCAATTACTCTTTTGATATGAGTCCTTGTTTCTTTTGCCTGTTTGAAATTAGGTTGTGTAAAGTGAGGTGCTTGCTTCTCCTCTCTGTTTAGGATGAGAGTAACGAATTTAATGGTCAATTTGATGTCATAGTTTCACTTAAAGTAATGAAGCGTACTTGTTATGAAACAGAAAAAAAATAAAAATCAACGGGGTAAACCGTTGCCCAGATAATCAACGATAAAAAATACCGTTGCTCAGAGCCAAAAGGCTAAAACCAATTTTATTCCAAGATGAGCCCGAATGAATCCTTACAATGGGTTTAAAGACCCATCTACTAATTCTCAAACTAGGAAACAAAATCCTAGAAATCCTAATCAACTCCAACTAGGAAACAAAATAATAGAGATCCTAATCAACTTCAAATAGGAAACAAATAATAGAAATCCTAATCAACTCCTAATAGGAAACAAATAATAGAAATCCTAATTAACTTCAAATAGGAAACAAATCAGGAAAATTAAAAATAATAAATATTAATTAAGCAGCCCGCAACCAGCCCACGAAGGTGGGCTCAAGCCCGTTCCCGCCTGCAGTAAACCGACAGACCCTTGGGTCTCGGACCCTCCTCATCCGCACAGCCCCACTGCTCTACCTGCTCTCTATCAATCCATCCTCCTTCAAAATAACCTTGTCCTCAAGGTTGGAATCTGAAAACTGCCTCACAAAGCTCTTTTTAATCCTAGGATCTGATTTAAATTGACTGTTCTCTCTTTCTTTGCGCAGAAGAAGCACTTCATCAGCTCTTACACCAAAAAGGAAAAAATCATCTTCCCCAGTTTCCTCTCTGATTTCCATATTAGCCCCGTCCAATAGGAGTGGGCAAAAAGAACCGTAACCGTGTAACCGTTCAAAAAAAACGAATAATCACTCTTTTCCCGGTTAACCGTACCGGTTTTTAAACCAATCCACGGTACAATTAACCGACCAAATAAAAAAGAAATTCACGGTCGGTTCTCCATTTGGGAAATAATTAGCATCGGTTTACCGAAGGTCAGCTACCCTAGCCGCTCCACTGGTCCAGAGAAAATGAAAACGATGCTTTCTTCTTGGTTTCTCCAGATCTGCTGATGGCCTGATGTGCTGTGCTCCGCTTCACCGAATCTCACCGAATCTCCAGATCGCAAGTCAGCCAAGGTCCGTTCTCAATATATATTCTTCCTCTGTTCATCTCTACAGAGGTGAGGGAAATCCGAAGGGGCTGCGGTCCAAATTGCTACACAAGTGTTGGTAGGTGAGGGTGGACTGTTAGAGACGGGGTGGCGTGGCAGCCCGGCCTCCGGCTCAGGGGATTGGTGGAGCGTCAACCTACGCCGTCGATTCACTCCAACACCATCCCACGGCTCATTTCTTTCCTCCCATTTCTTTAATTAGTCAGCCTTTGTAGACTGGATGGACACCTTATGGTAATTCACTCACGCTCTAATGTCAAACATATTTCATATGCGTACATGATATATATGCTTCTTCTTTTTTTCTCGCTTTTGTGGAATGGGAAAAAAGGTGGTTGACTTGCTCTACAAATGGTGTCGATCATGTTATTCAATGGTACAAATATTCAATGTTAGATCACTTTAAATGTATTGTGTAATAGACTAATGGGATATAAATAAACTATAGTCCAGAAGAAATTAAAATATATGTCTAGCTAAATTACCTGGAGAGACCAGTTGTCCAAGTCAAGAGTAGAGATAGATTTCAAGTCCAAGTTGAGCCTGATAGATTTGTGGAGTTCACTACTAAAACAACCTTTGATTGTTAAACTGCAAAGCTTTCTAGCAGTAATGCTGAACTGTGATATATTCTCACAGTAACTAAATGAGAGGTTCTCCAGCATTGGAACATCAACAGCATAGTTTGAAAGATTTGTAGGACCAAAGTCAACATATTCGAAATAAATTGATTTGAGAGTAGGCGGCAAATTTTTAGCAAAAATTTTTATCTCCAAACAGTAGACAGAACTGCAGTTTTAGCAACTTCTTGGATAGGCAGTAGTCCCAAAATGTGGTCAAGTATTTCTTCCGGTAGCTGGCTGATTCTATCTCTTCTTGCCATGTTAGGGGGCAGCTAATTTAAAACATATCAAAAAATCTTCTTGACTTCTATTTTGGATTCTTTTTAATGATTGTTTGATGACTTCGATCTCTTTTGCCATTATATATATAACTGGCCTTAAAAAATGACTCAGGTCCAAAGGACATGAGTAGTTTTGAGCATATTAGAATTGATGATCATGAATTCGCATCTGATGAGTACAAATCTAGACGCAGAGCCTGTTGTGAGAATGGTGGAAAGAAGGTACACCTACCACGGATGGATGTTGCAATAATGGAAATTCTTTGGGTAATTCAGAAATCAAAATTGAAGATTCTAAGGACTGTAATATTTTACTTCATGGGAGTTCAGAGGACAAGGGGCATACTTGTTCTATTACAGATATTGCAAGAAAGAAAATAAATAACATAAACAGTAGTTATTTTGGTGCATATAGTTCTACTCCTACATATGGCGGTAGAATGGACAGTTGAGCTACTTTAATTGTTGGAATAACTATGTACTACGTATATTATAAAATCAACCTGATATTTATTAATTGTTGAGCCTAGCTTTGCCTTTAAATGCCTTTTCTTGTTAGAGGCTTAACTTTAATTGTCTTTTCTTTTAATAGATGTCAAACATAAATCTGATGGAAACGGGTAAAGAGCTCTTGGGTGAGGAAGAAGTGAATTCCATAGAAGTTGATTCCGAAAACATGAGTTTGGATGCAGTTGGAACAGAAAGTACCTCCACTAAGAGCAAATCATATACCGACAAGGAAAAAGCTCAATCATCAACTTCTGCGGTGAGTGTTTCTGGACCATCTAAGAAAAGAAAAAAATCAATCTACTGGGAGCACTTTGAGCAAGTAGATAATAATGGGTATCACAGTTGCAAATATTGTAAAAAAAGAATCCGTGCAGTAGTAAAAAATGGCACAAGTGGCATGAAAAATCACCTAGAAAGATGCGCAGAGTATCCTCCCACTAAGGATAAAAAGAAAAGACTCGTTGTTTTTCAATCCACAACTTCTCTTAAAGATGGAACCATTCGAACTGATAATAATATTGAATTATGGCATTTTTGTCACGAATCTGCTAGGAGAAGACTTGCTCGAATGATCATTGTTGATGAGTTTTCATTTAGTATAGTAGAGCGTGAAGGATTTCGTGACTTCTGTAAACTTCTCAATCCCGAGTTTGTGGTTCCTTCTCGTAGAACTGTTACTAGGGATTGTTATGCATTGTTTATTGAGGAAAGGAGAAAACTTAAGAGTTCTTTGAGTAATTTGTCATGTAGAGTTTGTCTCACGACCGACACTTGGACTTCTGGTCAAAATTTGAGCTATATGTGCTTGACTGTGCATTTTATTGATGATGAGTGGAAGTTACATAAAAGAATTTTAAACTTTTGCCCCATTGCTGGTCATTCGGGTGAGCTTATAGGTAAAGCAGTTGAAAAGTGTTTGATTGAGTGGGAGATAAAGAAAGTTATGACTATCACAGTAGATAATGCGAGCTCAAATGACTTAGCTGTGAAATATTTGAGAGGAAGGTTGAACCATTGGGGTGGTAGTGTGTTAGATGGTCAATATCTTCATATGAGGTGTGCAGCACATATTTTAAATTTAATTGTCAAAGATGGTTTGAAAGATCTTGATGCATCCATTGCTAAAATCCGTGCTGCAGTAAGGTACGTGCGGTCTTCTCCGGCTAGGTTACAAAAGTTTGTATGTTGTGTAGAAGAGGAAAAGATAGATTCCAAAGGTCTTGTGTGTTTGGATGTGGATACTAGATGGAATTCTACTTATTTTATCACTTTAATTGTTTTGGTTCATTTCATGTACAACACTGCAATGGATATTCATTTCTTATCAACCGTCAACTTTTAATATGTCACTTTTATTTTTGTAGGGAAATGAAACAAATCTTGAAGTTGAAGGCTTGTAGACTTGAGCTGCTTTTTTTTGCTTTGGAGATAAATTATGAGACTTGATTTGTTTTTTATATCAATTCTAGTCTATGGAGTCATGTATTTGTTAACACCGATGTATTCTTGTATTTCTGTTATCTTCTTCAAAACTTGATCTACTTATGGATTTTTTATTATGATCATAGAAGTTTAGAAAATTATTTTTAGTTATGATTTTATGGTTTTCGGTTAACCGATTTGTGGACTTGTGGTTAACCAAAATTTTGGTTAACCGATACTCAATTAACCGAAGCTTTGGTTAACCGAAGTATCGGTTAACCGAAGTAACAAGTTTCGCGGTTAACCGGAAAGTTGGTTAACCAAAATCCGGTTAACCAACCATGCCCACCCCTACTGGCGTCCAATGTTCCTATGATTAGGCACCCATTCAGTGCAAAATTCATATTGCTATTCCCACTGGCCTCTAATTAGACAACTTTTGAGGGGAATGAAGACCAATCAAGCCTACCCTTCCCATCATTCCTCTCCTTAAATCTGTATATGGTATCCTGAAGTGACGCACCACTTAGCAAAAATTGTTGTTTAAGTCTTAAAAGTTTTCCACTTTCTGTTGCACCGCCGGGATCAAAGACAGCACAAATATGGTGAGCACTAGAGTGAAACTGTGTAGCAGATTCATATTGACCACCGTTAACTTGAAATAAGTTTATGTCCTCTGCACTAGCTTTGGCCTGAAAAAGTCTAAGACTACTTGTGTTCTTTGTTTTATAGCCAGGAATTGGAACATCATATGAAACCGCCTGTATGACCTCCCCACCAATCCCTTTCCGGGAGCCATTGGGTCAACATGATCATCAGAAAAAAGTCTGACTGGAAACACAATGTCATACCTTGCAACTTCCCAGGGACTGAATTTCTCAAGCCAACCTTCAGTAACTTCCTTTGTCCAGCTTCCGTAATGTGTTGCTTGTGTAGTCCATACTTGTACCTCAATCCATAACCCCATGCTGGCGAATCTAGGGTTGCCATGGAATCAAGAAAGCAAGAAGCAAGCCTTCCCGACCCACAACTTCCTAGTGCTGCATCTTTCTCCGGCTCAGCAATCTCCTCAAGTTCGCATGCAGATGCTGACGCAGAATCCAGTGACGCGGCTGTCGATGAATGCCCTTCTGCCGTTGGCGGCATAAAAGTCTTCATGAGCGCAGTGAGCGCAGCCAAGGAGGCTGTGATCTCTGCCAGTTGAACTCCTCGAGCGTCCAGTTTCTGGTTTAAGGCTAGTTTGGCCTCCATCACTGTCAAAAGCTCCATGTCCGATTTCTTCATTCCGGCGGGAACGGGATCCGGCAGGTCGGACCAATTGTTAAGAAACAGAAAAAAATAAAAATCAACGGGGTAAACCGTTGCCCAGATAATAAACGATAAAAAATACCGTTGCCCAGAGCCAAAAGGCTAAAACCAATTTTATTCCAAGATGAGCCCGAATGAATCCTAACAAGGGGTTTAAATACCCATCTACTAATTCTCAAACTAGGAAACAAAATCCTAGAAATCCTAATCAACTCCAACTAGGAAACAAAATAATAGAGATCCTAATCAACTTCAAATAGAAAACAAATAATAGAAATCCTAATCAACTCCTAATAGGAAACAAATAATAGAAATCCTAATTAACTCCAAATAGGAAACAAATCAGGAAAATTAAAAATAATAAATATTAATTAAGCAGCCCGCAACCAGCCCACGAAGGTGGGCTCAAGCCCGTTCCCGCCTGCAGCAAACCGACAGCCCCTTGGGTGTCAGACCCTCCTCTTCCACACAGCCCCACTGCTCTCCCTGCTCTCTATCAGTACTACATAAAACGAGTTGAGTTGTGCTGATTATTTTGTTTATAATTATATTTGTTATTATAGTCCACCTCAAGAACGAATGTTGCTGCTGATTCGTTTATTATTTACTAATATTACTAGTTCATTGAATTGTCAGGTTGTGGTCCAATGAGGCCACTTATTATTAGAAAAGATTATTGAAGGAAGAATTACAAGATTATTTAATGGTATTTTCTTATGATCTTTGTACCTATTTTGAAGTTGAATTATCAAAAGTGCAGCTGAAACTGCGAACTAGTTTTATTATTACTATTCTCAAGAGATTTATCTTTAAAGAATTTCCTTTTTTATACTTACTTTCTTTGTATGAGATTTTATATTATACTGTATTGGCTTGAACTCATTACACTCTGCATTTTAGTAATTTAAACAGTTTATATGTTCATTACACATGCTTTGTATTTTCTGAACTTTTAATCCTTTGTTGAAGTTGTGAGTTTATTTAATTTTAGATTTTTATTTCAGGTTATTCTCATATATATTAGAGGTTTATTTACATCCTTTTTTGAACTAAAACCAATGTGACTATAATCTCAGCCTTCAAAAGTAGTTATGAGCTTTAAATATTGTGTTCATATCTAACTCTTAAATCAAACTGCAAATGGTATAAATAGAGAAGCATTGAAAAGTAATCTAATAAAGCACTTGTTTGACTCTTTACTTTCGCCAATTCCAAACCTTTAAGCCCCATGGCATAAGTAAAAATGCTTCCACATAGCTCTAGGGCGATAGTACACTGGTGTCTATTTTGCTGTCAGTTTTACATATGTCTTCTTACTTTATTATTATTATTATTGTGCAATATTAATTTAAGAATATTTTCATAGTTAAATTTACGTGTTAATCAGCGTGTTAATCTCGTTGGCTTGGAACCAAAAACCTCTTTACTGGGCACTTGCATGCGCATTGGAAGACTTTCATTGATAAATTGAACTTAAATGCCATGTTTATTATTTTCTAAAGCTTGGAATTTTCATAATATTTGGACATTGGATGTGTATGGGTGTATTTTTGACAAAAACGTTACTTTTAATGATATGAAGTCTGAATATTTTTGTTAGAAACAGAATTAATTTATGTTCATTGATCATATAAAGGTAAAAAACATGCCGTTTTTACCTTGTTCCGTTCCAAAGCTGTTCTGCATTTTCTTTACTAGAACCAAACCTAATTTAAAAACTACAACCTAACCTATCTGTTGAAGTCCCACAGGTCTTAACACTATCCCGGGCCTAAGTTCGACAGAAATTGAAAAGGAAAAGAACGGAATTCACCTCTAAAGCTTTAGAAGGTTCCGACCACTGGATTGGAACCCTCAGTTCTTCAATTAAATCGCCCGTGGCTTCATCTCCGCTGCTGTTCACGTTTAGAGGCGAGAACGATCGACGAAGACTTTTCTGAGGGTATACGACCGGGAAATTGAACGCCGGAGCGAACGAGAATCCTCTGATTCGCGGTGTACTACAATCAGAAATTTTTGTGAATAAACGGGAAGGATGATATACTTTTACGTCTGTATTAGCCGATACCAATAATAGAGAAGCCATTGTTATCCTCGTGTACGGTATACACTTCATGCTTGTGGTCGATATACAGGCCAGCTTGTGTTCGGAAGTGACTGTTCATTTCATCAACTACACAAATCAGGAGAATGACCAAAGTTTAAAGTACAAAATATATTTTTAGAGAAAACTCTAAGATAGGTCTTCTTATTTTGATCAATTCCCCACTAAAGCTCTCCTACTTCCAAATCACTCAATTGAGTCTCTAAGTTACCAAAAACACCCAATTAGACTTTTTAGTCGATGGACGGTCGATTAGCCTGTTATTGGCTAACATGGACTCTGACGTGGCCCTCCCTTACCCAACAACTTAAGTTGACGTGGTTATTCCCCACTAAAGTCAAACCCTTGGTCAAATCCCCCCCCCCCAAAGCTTACCCTTTATCAAATTGACCTAATCACATCCCAGTTTGAAAATTACCTAACAAATTACTGCAAAGAGGAGGTAGTTGGAACGCGGGAGTTGAATCTAACCGCTGCGAAGCCCTGTAAGGTACATTATTGGTGTTGTTGTAGTTGCTGCATTTACATTGTGTAATTTATTGTGCTTTGGTCGTTCATGATGTTTTGCTCTTTTATGTGCTTGGAATTTGTACGAAGATTGTGTGTTATTGAGTATTGTGTTACACTTACATGACAAAAGTTTGAACTTAAATGACGATTCTTGATTGTTATATTTGTAGAATGTTTGAGACAGTCGAACTACTAGTAGATCATGGGGGGATTTTAGCTGTGATGCAAAGAAGATGTATGTTGGAGGGGTAGTGGATTACGTACCTGCAGATCCTAATGTAATAAGCTATCCTCATTTGAAGAAGTTCTTAGAATGTTAAAGCAATGGCAACTTCATATCAGAGGTCTATACGTCAAAACAACAAGTGCCAATATGGACTCCTTACATGAGTTGTTTGATGATCAGACTGCATTGCATCTAATCGAATTGGCAAGAAGTTGTGGAAAGTGTGAGATATATGTGGATCATGCACAAGATGAACTACAGCCCCAAGGTGATGATCATGAACCAAATCCTACAAGACAGGATATAGTTGAGCCCGAAGGTGATGATCATGAACCAAATGGTGATGAGGATGAAGTGGATGATGATACATATGTTGGCAATGATACCCCAGGTGATGTGCAACACCGTACGCGGGTGTACTTGAATCTAAAATTCAGTATGTATTTGAGAATAAGTAGTGGGGACGAGCGTCCTCACAATCTTGTCTCATGTGTCCTGCCTGTTCCCAAGGCCAAGGTTCCATACGTACGTCTTGCAATTGGGCCATGTTGGCCTATTCAAGACGTACGTCCCCGGAAGTAGGGGAGGCATCTCCAGCTGTCAAGTCCTTGGAGACGTACATCCCGTTAAGTAGGGGGAAAGCATCTCTAGTCTTCGATCCTTGAAGACGTTTGTCCTGCAACTGGGCCTTGTTGGCCTGTTGTGGACATACGTCCCTTGAAGTACGGGGAAAGCATCCAGTCCTTGAAGACGTTCATCTTGCAATGGGCCTTGTTGGCCTGTTGGGGGCGTACGTCCCCTGAAGTAGGGGGAAGGCGTCTACTGTTGCCTAAGCCCTTTGAGACGTTCGTCTTGCAAATGGGCCTTGCTGGCCTGTTGGAGATGTACGTCCCCGGAAGTAAAGGGGAGACGTACGTCTCCAGACGCCTTGTATAGTATGGATGTGTTGGACTGCGGTTGACTATTCGTACTGTACGGTGGGTTGTTGACGTGTCCGGGTAGGTCCGAGGCGTGACATGATGAGAGTGATGATGAGGAAGTAGTTCAAATTTGTGAAAAGCAAGCAGTATAATTTGGGATAACAGATGACCGTGAGGATGAAGAAGAAGAGGTGTTACATTATGTGCAAGTGGGTTCGAACCATAATTCCACACCCATGACAGAAAATGTTTCAGGAATGGAAGATATACAAACTCCTCAGCATGGGATTGACAGTGATACTGAGGAAGATAGTACATAATATGACTCATCTAACCCACCTAACTTGCATCACTACAAGAATCTTGACATAATATGACAATTTTTTTCGTCATGTAAAATTCATTTTTTTGTCACTAAAACTTTTATATGACGAATAATTAGTGTCACAGTGATCGTCACCGTAGCTCCGTGGTATTAGATATATGTGACAAATTTTTTATTCGTCACCAAATAAATAACATTTAATGACGTTTTAGCACGTCATCACCATTATTAATCACTTTTCGTGACAACAAATGTGTCACGTTTATATCAACTTTTTTGTCATCTAAAAGTGTATTTTGTCACCAATAATTCACATATTAAATGACAAAAACTCAAATTGTCAACAAAACATAACATATAGTGACGATCCCTGATATATTTTCTGAATTTTTAACTTCCAACGGTATAAGAGGTTTTTACATAAGTATTACCAATGGTATATCTTACCAGAAATGATTAGGATGCATGAACAAGCTGCATAAGAAATCAAAAGTTAAAGCCAGTTTATGCCTTATTAAGATGGAAAAAAGCTAGCAAACAGGAATTGAAATATTAATAACACATTATATTCTATTTCAACTGTTCAGGATAATTCGCCTTAAGCAATTCAGGAATCTCTTCTCTAGAAGTAACAAGTCCAATAAGTCTTTCATCAACATTTTCTGGGATGGTCGAGGTAACAATCTGATAAAAGTATGAAAAGGTGGCAGAATTAACACAGAGTGTTCTTAATACAGACCTGGTACAATATACTCCGTACTTTATACTACTACCATCTACAGAGTATTTTTACTAGTTTACACAGAATAGAAATTGATAGGAACCACAACAAACGCAGCAGAAATTGATGATTTACTGATTATGAAATCTGTCGATTACAACTGAGAATGAAAGAAACGGAAATAAAGAAGAAAACAGATCGAGACAGTTCGAGTCGTCTCACACTCCCAAGGCCAATTCCAGATCCAATTTCTGCCTAACTCCCATCTTCTCCCCTTCCCATTCTTATAGTAATTATATTTCCTAACGGCCCAGCCCATATTTTATGACATGGCTCGGGATCCTTACTTATACACTACCACACTTATTTAATATACTTCTATTATTATTAGTATTATTATACTAATGGGTTCCTATCATATCTCCCCCCTTAGACAACCACCTTGTCCTCAAGGTAGGTGATAGGAACCGGCTTGGACTTTCAGCTTTACTTTCATCCTTGCGCTTCTTCCTTCCCAGTACCTCACTGCTTTCTGGAATAGGAGCTTCATTACTTGAACCTTCTCTGTCATTTGCCCAGCCCCATATTTTTCTAAGATTCTGACAGCTTCTTCATGCATCCCATTATTGCCATGAGTTTGGAGCTTTTCCAGCTGGGCAAGTCCTTCACATCCCAGGTCAGATGGTGGGGTGGGCTTGCATCTATAAGAGTTTGACAAAAACCAGGTTGTGGCTTCACCAGCAAGCTTTCCCAAAGCCCAAACAGCCTGATCACAAACATCGTCATCAGGGAGGGAATTGAGAAACTGTATGAACATAGTAACATCATCCTTCAGCAGGGCAGTAGCACTCTCTACAAATCTGGGCTCACCAGACCGCATATCCTGTGCAATTTGAGAAAAACACCATGGGCTTAACATGACCCTCTTGCCTTGGGTGTTAGTTTTACAAATTCCCCAGCACCATCTATGTCTAAGTGTTTAGCCACCCTATTGTGCAATATGGATAATTCTGCCTCACCAAACTGAGGTGGAGTAAGAACTGGCACTCGGGTAGCGTACGCCCATCAATTTTCCTCAATCTCGTTAAGCCTCTTGCAACTGGTCATCCCTGAAGTCCAACACTTAGTGGTCCAATCAATTTCCCTCTTCGACCATAGCCTTCCACAAGTATCTATCTCAACTGGTCCCGCTTGTACACACTCCTTGTTCATATACATCCATTCCATCCATGGTTTCCTAATTGAAGTTGTAGCTATTAAGTTCGACTGCCAAGGTATAGCAGTTCCTTCTGATGCTTCCTGAACTATAAAGTTTTCAGAAATCACCTGGTTCTCCAATTCAGAACCAACAATTTTGTCATCAGCTGACTCATATTCCAGGGCAGACAAGAATTGATTCGCCACAGCAGATTTCTCCTCTTGTCCTTCATCTTTACCTATGAATGTATCCTCAGAGAGGGGTTACCGTGGATTGCCAGAATCCTGCGACTCGGAAAGTAAGGGCAGACTGGAAGCTTCTTCTTCTGGTTGCATCTTACATGGAAGTGAACTGCTAGCGTATGCTGAAGCCAGCGAACCTGGAGGCATGGCTTACGGAGAAGAGTGCAAACTGGAAGAAGATATTGACAATGAAACCTGTGAACGACTGAGGGAGCAGACTTGCGATGTTGAGCTGCAAGGAAAAACAATAGTTCGCGTAGAGAATTGCGAACTGAGAGAAGTTCTTTGCGATCGCGTATACTGATTCCCTGTGTTCAGACTGCGTGTAGGCTGGAAATGCCGCGTTATGGATTCTTTCAGAGCCTTCCAACTATCTTCTCTTGTCTGGAATTGCCACCATTGAAACCATTCAAACGCCTCTTCCTCCATAGCTCCTTCTGTTATTTCAACTTTATTTTTCTCAGCAGTTGCCTTGAGTCGGAAGTATTCTTCCATCTTAACTATCCATCTGTCTGCATCATACCCGTTAAAAAATGGCAATTCAACTTTTATTCCCGTACGAACATGTCTTCTCCTGTTATCGCCATCCACCATAGAGCTAGAAGGATAGGAATTTCTCGCGTCTGCGAGATGCAAAGTCCGATGTGGAGTGCCATGCGATCTCAGCGGATTGAGCGAGTGATGCCTCGATCGATTTTGGTTGTTGTTCATCTTCGCGGATTGAGCCCTGCGAACTGAGACCTGCGAAGCTTCTCCTCTCGGTCGCGTCGCACTTGGTCCTGAACTGCTTGCGAATGATAAAGTTTGCAAACTGAACGAAGCTAAAGATGAAGTCAGTGAACGGGAAGAAGAAATATGCGATTGCGATCTGGGATAACTGGCTTGCGGTGTCGATCAGTGAGGAGAAGGAACCTGCGCATTTGGCGACAAAATGGGATACGCAGAAGGCCGC